TTTTCAATGCATTCGATACTCGGTACCTAAATAATTAGGTTTCTAATAAAAACGCGCATACATAGGTCAAAAGTATGGAAAAAAGCGGTTCAGGGGAGACCCGTCTATCAAAAGCCGAATGAGCTTTTAATACTTATTCAAATCAAAAATGTATACATATGTACATATATTTCGGTCTATGTCATAATCGGACGATATTTTCTTTGAAGACCTGAAAGGCTTCTCCATCCGTCAAAGCATTTTTCTTGAGCCTTGTATCTACCAAGGTGAAAACTGATAAAAAAGAATATTTTACTATTGCGATAAGTTCAAGGTTTTAGCCGATATCATACAAAATAACAATGGAATAATTGGGTACCGACAATTCGGCACATCACTACAGGCCATTAAGCCGCTCAACAACTTTGCTGTCCTTCTCAAACCTCACTGACGGAGAAGCATCAGCAGGTCGCTTGATTCGCGCTTGCTGTAGGTCCGGAGATAAATCGTAGGTATTCGGTATTATTGGAGCATCCGTCCAATAGTCAAGGGCCTTTTGGTGTGGAAGGTAAACGATTTTACTGCAGATCTGTTGAATTTTATAAGGCCCTTCGTCCTTTTCCAATTTAAGCACGCTCATAATGACTTAGAGACCTCACAATCGTCGAGTTTGGTCCGTAAGACATTTGCAATTGTAGATTTTTCCGGAGCATTTCAGAGCCAGAATTTTCGGCGACATTTTTTATGTTGCATAGACGCTTGTAGGCAACAGTTACAAGCTTTGAAAGCGACAGTGACAATATTGTCTTCTGAAATTTAACGTTTTAGTAAATATTTCGCGAGTGTTAGCGCACTTTGAACGAAAGCTAGAACATGCGCAATTGCAAGGTCCTTCGGGAACAGGTTGGAGCTAGAGTGGTGGTAGGAGCTTTAACAGCTGCACCACCTCTGAAGAACTTACGGAGAAATTATTCGTGCTTGTAACCTCGTGATTGGCTCCTGAAGTTTCACCAAATAAGCACTGGTTCCTAACTGGTCAACCACCCCAACCTAACATAACCGAACATGTGATTTTTGCTTTTAATCCTTCAGCCGTTATATGTATTTTCCAGCGTTTTCCAGGCTTTTCACGGCAGCATTTTTCCAGAACTTTTGGCGACTTTTAGGCGCTGCTTTGAGATGAGACAATGAGAAACTGTCCCTAAGTCTTATTGACTTTTTCGGGATTTTTAAGGACTTTTTCTGTTTTATTCCTGGCTTTTTGTATTAAAAACGTTCTTTAATTTTTGTGAAAAAATTGAAAAAAATGATAGGCAAATATACTAAAATTAACTGAATCTCTTGCTAAAAATAAAGAAATAAAAAAGATTACAAAATTTTTTGGTTTTTAAACTGGGGCTAAATATAAATTATATGCAGCTGGGTTACCAAGTGTCCCTGAATTGAAGAAAACTGTATTGTTTGCTTCATTAGCATAATTTATTGATTAACATTTCTGAATGTGTGAATGTAAATGCAGCATATTTTGGGTTTGCTTGTAGTAGTGTAAGTTCAAGATCCAAAAAGTTAACAATAAAAAAATTAAAGATGAGCCATTCTGCAGTCCATTTAGACTTTGAGTTCAAAACTTCACCTCAAAACGGTACAAGTGTACATACTTATGTACATGTGTATGTATTTATATGAAATAGAAGTTTCATTTTAATTTCATAGTCACCCTTTGATGTTAAATGACGCATTTGTAACAATTTCCGCGACTAACTGCATTTACACCTCATGTCAAAATTATAAGCGCACCACATATTGACAAATTTTTGTTATTTAATTTTAGTTTTTTTTTATAAAAAATATAGTTTATTCTTTAACAAAAACATCGTAAATCCAAATTCCAAACTTTGCGCAATATTAAAAAAAATCGACAAACTTTTGTGAAAGTTTCGAGTTTTTAAACTGATATCTTAGCTGAATTTCCACTAGGCATTAAATAGCAGCGGTTTGTCTACTGTTAATTTTTGAAATTTTTTCTCATTTTTTCTCTATTACGAAAAATCGTCGAAAAAATTTTGTATGAAAAAAAACGTAAATCACTAAAATTTAATGCGCTACAAAACTGCATTCTCAAACTCTGTCTAGAAAGTTTTATTAAAGAGCTTGACATTTTTACGGAGTAGTTTGAAATTTATATGTATACGGTTTTTAAATAACAAAAACTTAATTGTCAAAATGTGGTGCGCTTATAAAATGGATGCGGAGTGTATATGCCAATAAGATAGTCTGTACAAGAAACAATTAGCTGACTAGGTCAGTGCGGCAAATTTGTTTGCAAAGTATATACTTACATATATATGTATGTATGTATGCAGTAAGTTGGTGGGACATTGCTGCGGTAAAGCCACACTTTTAGGGTTGCATGCCAGGTGTGAACTAAGATACACATCGCCTTTAGTACATTAGAAATGAAACAGATGCAAGTACTAAGCTTTCGATAAAAAACGAAATTCGCATACATACTTAAATAACACATAAAATACAAACAAAAATTCAACATTCAGTAAAGTGCTCTCATCTTATCTATTATCCTTACATTAAAAATTCCACAATTTTTTTCAGGTTGCCCGTTTTTCGGATATATGAAAGGATATGATTTTTTTATATGTAATGGCAAAAAAATTAGCTAATCTATAAAATAATCGACTAGATACTGAACTTTTCAAGGATATTTCTCCCATTGCATAAATAAATAGTTAATTAGATGTATTTTGGAACGAATTTCCGTCATCCCTCGTCAAATTTGGTTTGGAGACAAACCGGTTTCGGCGTTGTGCCATCTTCAGTGTAATTTTCGTTCTCGAAAATAATTTTTCGTTCTCGAAAAATGACACTGAAGATGGCACAACGCCGAAACCGGTTTGTCTCCATACCAAATTTGACAAGGGATGACGGAAATTCGTTCCAAAATACATCATACACCCACCCTGTCGGAAACAAAAACAACCAAAAAGGAAAGTTAATTAGATTTTCTCAAAAGAAGTTCGAAAATTATATAAGAACAAAAAAAAAAACTATTAACAATAAGTAAGCAGCAATATTAGGGTTCACATAGCAACGCTCGAGAATAACGAGACTTCGTTGGAGAATTCACTAACAACGCCCGCCAAGTAGTGCCAGACCCCACAATTCATATAACTTCGCATAAGCCTCACAAAAAAATAAATATTTTATTCACATGAAGATGAAGAGTAAAATAGATTAAGCGAGCGCTCATACGCTACACACACACACATAGTTTCGTAATGCCCTCAATGCGGTATCTACCATCCGTAGTTTTCAAGTGTCGGTCGCCCGCAGACTCTAACCAAAATCCTTGAGTTTTCGGTTTTGAGGGCATTAAATTACGTTCGCCTCCTTCCTCTGTCTGATTGAGTTTGAACGATTTTTTGTTACTTCCTTCGCACTGCTGCCTCGGCATCCAATAAAAGTGCAAAGGCAACTAGAATATTAAACTCCAATATTTTTTTTAAATAAAAACTGTTTGTCAAGTTCCTTTGAAAATTGAAATTTCCTATTAGTTACTGGCAGTTTACACCAGATGGTAGTATATTTTTCATTTGAGTACCATCTGTGAAAAAATGGGTTACATCATCCTTGCTCTAGCCCACCTTTTCTATTGCAGTACAGTGAAAGCTCTAATAAGCGGACGCATAAATACTTGGGAACGAAAATTTTATTGGTTTTTCTATACAAAATGCTCTCCCATGCATGGTTTTTTCGATAAACGGACGTGGACACTCAAACATGTCTAGTTATGAAAAAAGTGCCCCATAAGCGGACGCGAAGCTCTAACAAGCTTTTCATTTTATTTTTTTTTTAGTCTGATGTTGAATCTCGCGCATCTGCATCAGTATCAATGAATACATACATATTCAAAGGAGTTTTTTTTTCGAAAAAAAAGTTGCCTTTTCATTGCTCTCATCTCGCTGCTTTGTCGGTAGAATTTATTTACCATTCATTCTGTTTATGTCTATTGAAGAATAAATATTCAGGGTATTCATCTAAACGTCTAAATGCTCGTAAACTGGTTTTCCATATAAAATTAAGCAAGTATACAAGGTTTACAAGCTTACAAGAAATTTATGCGTTTAGACGAAATAACCTAGAATTTTAATTTAGAAACTCTCAATTTAAATTTTTTAAATTTGTAATTTAATATTATTTTTTACGAAATTCCCATAAGCGGACATCTCTCTTAGGCGGACAAAAAGTAAGTGACCATCGGTGTACGCTTATGGAAGCTTTCACTCTCTTAGGATATTTTTCGAAACTCATGCGGGCGATCGCACGGACTATTCGCCTCGTCAGAGATAACACAACTCGTACGTTCAGAGCCCAGGCTGTATTTTTGGCTACATAACAAGACCCTTGAGGTGGGAATTATTTGAATATGCAATCTCAAAAAGGGCAAATGTCTGAAAATTTAAAGTATTTTGGAATTTATTTCTCCTTGATTTTTGCGCCTTTTAAAATTATTCCGGAACACGCCATGACTTCAACAGTAGAATTGATACAAAGATGTGACTTTTCCGAACTTGAATAATATACAGAAGCTATTAGATTGCATAGATATGAAAAAATTTATTTACCAAATTATGGAAGAAGTGCCCCGCCAAGACAAAGTTAAGGAGAACTTAGACCCACTACTTACTGGTTTTGTAGGTTAGTTATTTGGTTGGTTGCCAATTGAAATAGTAAATATTCTAAATATTTATGTATATGTGTTCTATTTAAAAAGAGGCACAAAAAATCGCCTACGGTGTAACCTTTCACAGCTAATTATCAGCGTACCATGAAAAATGAGAGACTGATGAAGT